AGAGAGAGATAGAGAGAGAGATAGAGAGAGAGAGAGAGAGAAAAGGGAAAGAAAGAGAGAGATAGTAATAAACCTTAATTACATTTAATTTTCATGTGAACGATGAGCAACAAGTTAAAAAATACGATTAAAATTTGGAACTGGATAAAAAAAATTACCTATCTAACATGTATATACAATTTCGAAACATTGAAGTAATGATGGAAATATTATCAAAGGGAAGTAAATGCTATTCATGTTCATATGCACTAATTTCTCATAGGCATGGCAAAAAGAGAAAGAGGTATGGATGATTGATAGGCGCTGTCAGGCATGCAAGTGTTCTAATGTATGCATTTGATGTTTTCGAAATTCATAAACATCAATCATTCTTTAAAAAAAAAAAGAAAAAAAACGAAAAAGAAAAACTAAAAGCAATCAAATGAATTCATTGATTTTTTTTTTCTTTGTGTTCAATGTTACTTTTATGATTACCGACGATTTTCTTCTTACCTATTTTGAGAGGATAGTTAATGTGTAATGAAAGGTTAATGGTTAGTTAATATGTAAAATTAAAAATATATTTCATTTTTTCTTTTCAGAGAACTGAAAATTATTGTATTGTTTGATTTATAATTTTCAAAAATTGTAAAAATGTATAGAAATGAGCATTGATTAATTTATTAATCAATCAAAAAACATTACGTATCGTTATAATAAAGCACCATTTAAAATTTCACAGCTAATTTCGACATTTACTATTCTCCATTTTTCCTTTCAACAATTAATAATAATAAAAAAAAAAAATGAAATATAATAATTGAAAATATAACAATTCATATTTTCAATTTGGGTAAAAAATTCACTCATTTTATTTCATACATATTATGCCATCAAATTTCCATCTAATCGAGACAGGAAAAAAAATGAACGTATAAATTTTAAAAAAAGAAAAAAAAAATGAAATTTTAATTGAATTTAACGATCACTACCAATCACTGAGCCATTTGATGCTAATAACTCTTCACGGTTATCCAACCAATAAGTGAGCAATGTACCGATTCCCTGTAACAATTATAATTTTCATTAATTTATCAAATTATGCTCATTCATTAATTTTAATTTTCAGTTGTACTTGTTTGAGTATTAATTTCATTTCACTAAATATTTAAAAACAAAAAATTTCAAAACTTTATCATTTCATATCCCATTTGTTCTACATTGTAAATAAGTGCACAAAAAAAGCTATTTGAATATGAGCTGAGAATAACTTGAAATTAATGATTTTTCCATTTTATGATAAAAATATTTGTTTGAAATTTTGCATGTGAAAGAAAATATTTTCTTCAGGTAAAAAAACGAGACAAAATGAATCATTTGCAATTTTTTTTTTTTAAAAAAAAATGATCTAAAACAGACATCAATTCGAACTCCTCCTCGCGGTGAGCATTTAAACTCAGGATATCGAGCTGTCAATAGCTGATAACTTTGCAGCGTAATTTGAATTTTATCCGATAAACTGGTATTTTCCATTTTTGCTGCCAATGTTACCTAAAATGACATTCAAATGGAATTTATCAAATTTATCAAAATTTTCTTGTTGCAGCACAAAGAAAAGGAAGTGATGATGTTGTGTACGAGAGAGTACACTTATAAAGTCAATTTCAGTAAAATTAAACAGATATCATAAAGCAAAGAGATAAATCAATTTCTCGAATTCATATAAATGAGTGAATAATTGATATAATTGCTTCGTTGTTTTAAGCATTTCATTGCTAATTAATGGAACTCAACAGAATTTTTTTCTCTTTCAATAATTAAATTGAATTTGCTAAAGTATTTCAATCAAATTTTCAATCAATCTATTAGTTTTTCACATTTCATGAACATCATATTTTTTGAATTTCAAATGAAATCCAAAGAGAAACAAAAAAAAAATAAACCGTTTGGCCAAAAATACAATATCTCGGTGCATTCAAACCAACAACTCCAGCAAATACAGGCCCTGTACTGAAACCCCAACGGCAGTGTAATTTCTGTCCTGGCCTATGCGGTATTGTGTATTCGAATAAGAACTGAAAATTTTATTTTTACCCTTTAATCAGCAATCTTTTATCAGTTCAAAAATCAAGAAAAAAAAAAGATTTTTCTTAAAAGGAATAATTTTATCATTCTTTACCTTAAAATTATGATATATCATTACATATCATTATTATCTTTGTGTTGAAAGTGATTTTTCAAATAGATAAATCAATTCTGCTTTACCTTACTTTTTTACAAAAAAAAAAACTTGAAATTTTAAAAGAAAACAATTAAAACTTACATCTCTCATCATAATTGCAACGGAAGCAATATCTCGAACATGATCATGTCGATTAATTGTTGGAACTCCAGATGCTACCATATATGCATCACCAATTGTTTCAACCTTAATAAAAAGTTAAATATTGCTTATAATTTGAATTATTTGATATTGCCTGAAATTTAAATTACTAATATTCATTGCACGTAAATTAAACAAAACAAATTAAAATTTTAATTTAAATTTCTCGTCTGTGAATTGATTACTTTTTATGTTCATTGTCAATAAGAATACCTTATAGCATTGATGTTTCGAAATAATCATATCAAATTTTTGAAAAACACCGCTTAACAATGTAACAACCTCCATCGGTGAACTATCACTGCAAAGTGACGTGAAACCAACAATATCTGAGTACATTACTGTTGCTGACTTATAATTTTTTGGATCAACCCGACGGCTTATTTTTAATTCATCAGCTACCGATCTGAAATTAATATTCCAGATATTAATATATTCTGAAATTAATATTGCAAATATTAATTAAATTACAAATTATTCCTTTTTTACCAAATATTTGGAGGGGGAGGGGTTTCAAAGTTTTTTTTTCACATCTATTCTACACAAAAATTAACTGAAATATTTCCTGTTTAAAATGAATGGAAATGATCTAAAATGTTTGTAATGCTTTTGTGTGTTTTTTTTTTCTTTAATGCTAATTGAATAATGTTTTTGTCTAAAAATTTTTCAACTCCTTTATGATGGTTAGTTAATTTGTTGAAATTGTTGCAAGAAGAATGTTTTAAATTGGTATACTTACTTAGGTAACAATTCAAGAAGTAAACGTTCAGCATGCTGTTGCGTTTTTTCCAATTGACTCGTTCGTTCCTTCACTAACTGCTCCAAATTGTTCGTATACTGTAGCATAAATTTCTTCAAATTTTTATTTTATATTTTTAAATTAAATTTTCTCAATTCTTCCTAATAGCAATGATTGCCATACAGCAATGATTAGATCATGTTAACCATTTAATATCATTTTAAATGCCTTCTTTACTATCATTAACGATTGAATTGTTCTGCTTCTGTTATAATCGCTTAATTCATCAATATTATAAATTAAAGTTTAATTATAGCTCTAATATTTTCATAAACTATAACGGCTATCTTGAAAACAAAAAGCAAATTTTCATTGAAGGAAAATTGTACCTCTTCAAGATTTTTAATCATCTGATCGACCAAACTACCTGATCTGAAATTTTGAGAGAAATCATTTGCTACATTATCATTGAGATAATTAATGAATCGTTTTGCTTTCTCCGGCAATAATAGCTGTATATGTCAGGGTAATCTAATCAAAACCAGCAGAAATTCCAAGTATTTAATGAATATGTTGAAAAATTTTCAGCTTACATTTTCAATGTAGCATCCGTGATTTTTCGTACTAACGTTGCATCCGGACGTTGATCAATCATTCCGGACCAGCATTTGTGCATTAATTTAAGCAAATCCGGATGCACTTCGATATTTCCCGGAATAGATGGATAAGATGGAATGAGCGATTCAATTGATTCACAAAAAATGCTTAAACTATCTGCATTTGCGTTTTCAGTTTCTGAAATTTACGAGTTAAATTTATTCATATCTGTAAATGAATTCTATCCTATTTTTCTCAGATCTCTATATCCATATTCAATACATTGACTATACTTTAAAAAAAAAAAAAGAAAATAAAAATTGAAACAAATAGGTAGCATTACGATAATCATAAATATATACCGCAACGATTATTATCGAGTGTGATCAATTTCTTATGAAAAACAATTTCATACAATATAATTCCAAATGCATATATATCAGCAGCTTGTGCTTGCTTAGTGTCAAAGGTTGCCGTACCTTTACTCATATTTTTGAGTAAACGACGCATTTCCGGTGAATAATAATGTAAATCTGAATTTATATAATTTTAATAAAAGGTAATTTCAATTATCACAATTCTGATAATGCAAATTTAAAAGCTGATAATATAACAATTTCATCATTGTTTTCAATGATTGTATGAATAAAATTTAATTTTTTAAAATTTTCTATACATTTTTGTTTATGTTCTGATAAATTTATGATTTTAACAAA